GAAATATGAGAATGCAATTATATTATCTATATAAGAATAAAAATTAAAAAGCCACATGGATTTTCACTCAGTGTTTAAAAAGTTATCATAAATATTAAGAACCACCATATAATGAACAAACTCAGGCTTCAGTAAAAAAAGCCCCTTTCATTACAACTAGAACCCTCCTACTAAAGAAGTATAATGGACAGAACAAGGCAAATAGCTGAATTAGCAGAGGTGTATTTTATTCCTTATATTCTGCAATACTAAGCTGTAGCTTAACAAATGCAGCTTAAAACTTTTTTCCTTAGATGTCTAACAGCTTAGCAATACCTTTTGACACTCTTGGATTTGAGGGGTTAGTAACATGACAGCTCAAGCAACTGTGGAGAGGACATCGAAAACCTCTGTTCTCAAACACAGTAAGATGAAATTTTTTTACACATGCTTCATGGTAGAATTTTCCGCAGTGGGATACAATACATCGTTTCACATCTGCCTTTCTCTCCTTACAAACAAAACAGGTGTGCACACCTAATGATAAAAACAATAAAAATAATTCATGACATTTTCATTCTAGCTTCTGTGCTTAAGCCATATTTTGACTTACAATTTTTGGTATCAAAGATCTTCTAACCAATCTGGCCTAAAACATACCAGATACAATCCCAATGCAATATAATGTTTAATAATCAAATCTTCATATGATCACTGACTTGGTAAAAGCCTCTCTCTAACAGTAAATCAGTAGTATAGGCTGCGATCCTGCAGAACTTCAGATAGATGCACAAACTCCGTGAGAAAGTTTGCTAAGTTTCTTGCTGGCCCACCTGACTAAGAGCCCATGAGAACTTCCATTATCTTGGAACACAGCATTTCCATAACAAAGTTCTGCAGGTTCGCTGCCTGAGAATGTCAACAGGTGCTCAATATCTTTTCTGTCACACTGAAGTATCACCACTACTGTATAGTAGTTTGTTACAAGATCAGAAGCAATGGAGACTAATAGCTACAGGCTACAAGCACATTTCTTAAGGAAATAAGTGGACTGAAAAAAAGACACTGGAGGCAGAAACCAGAGAGAGGGAGAAGAGGAAAAAAAAGTGAAAGAA